TGCTGTTGGCCATCCGGAAGCTCGTTTTTCTCGGTCGGGACACAACCTTTCCATTTTCTAATAAACCAATTTCCGTTTCAGCGCAAGCCCCAGACCCCAACCATTTCCCAATTTTTGTTCCAGCACCCCCCCGTCCCCAGCACCCCAGCCCCAGCCCCAGCCCCGCCCACAGCCCAGCCCAGCCCAGGAGCCAGCCCAGCGCCAGCCCAGCCAGCCCCAGATTCAAAATATGGTACCAAAAGAAAAACTTGGTCAAAACTCGTTCAAAACGTTTCGATCAAAACGTTTCGGTCAAAACGTTATTGGCACCCAAACCCTTAACAATTTCTATGAACCCTAAACACCTAAACCCCTAAACCCCCAAAATCCCTGAACCCTAAACCCTAAACCCTAAACACCTAAACCCCTAAACCCCTAAACCCCTAAACCCCTGAACACCTAAACCCCTAAACCCCCAAAACTCCTAAACCCCTTAACCCCTGAACCCCTAAACCCCTGAAACCGTTGCAGGTCAGGCTGCAGACCGGCTGCGGGTCGCGGAAAGACCTTCGCCGCCTTTGCCTGAGGAAGAACGGAGGCTGAAAGGGGCTCTATGGGGTCTTCTAGGGTTTTGGGGTCTTCAGGGCTTGGGGTTGATTCTTGAGGGTTTTGAGTTTAGGGTTTGGGATTTCTATGATTCGGCTTTCGGGGGTTTGGGGTTTAGGGTTTAGGGTGTAGGGGGGTTCTATCCAGTTGTTTAGAAGGCCTTACAAGGATTTTGGGGGATCTATCATGTCTTTGTGAGGCTTTACAAGGATCTGGACGATTGTATCGGAGTTTATCAAGCTCTACATTTAGGGCTTATAGGGTTCTGCAAGGCTTTTGCAAGCAAGAAGCTTTAGCAGGACTTCTAGGGTTGTATCATGTTGCAGTGCTTTCAAATTCTTTGTAGGGCTCTACAAGGTCGTTGAACAGGCCCATAGGGTTCCATGCAGTTTCGATACGGCTGTGAGGATGCATAGTAAACCTCTGAGGGTTTAGGGTTTAGGGTTTAGGGTTTCTCTGGCATTTGGAATCCCTCTGGAGGGGCCGGTGGTGTGGCAAACACAAAGCTCCTCAAGCCAGGCACCTCAACGCACTGGGGTTTTTCGTCTCACAGCACTGCTTGCATGTAACGCTGTAACCAAGAAGCTGCAGACCCCTGTGACAGTATACAGTCGAACTCCTACGAGGCGCAGCTACTGCAATACATGACACAGAGAACTAGAATCTGCAAGCATCTCCGGACATCCCAACATCATGCAAACTCTGATGAAGTACTATGCTGCAGTGGAACAACAAACACTGAAGCCCAACACCCTACTAAACCCAAAGCGTCAAAGCTCAACACCCCCCGACGGATTTGCGAGGAGTCCCTGGCCGGCCTTCCTGGCGTTGGAGCGTCGCTTCTTACGGCCGGCCTGGACAGCGTCTTCGGGTCTGGGGTTTGGGTTTCAGGGAAAGAGCGTCCCCTCGTCTGCAACCCTACAGAATGAAACCCGTATCATTCTCCTAGGGTGTAGGATTGAAGGTGCAGGGTTCAGGACTTCTCACAAGGGGTTACAGTCTACAGTTATTTTTCAAGACTTCGGGCGAGGAGGAAGAGCTGTTAGGGTTTCGGGCGTCGGGTTTAAGGTTAAGGGTTTACGGTTTACGATTTAGGACGTTCAGCATTTGAGATTTGGTAGACTAAGGCTTGCAGAAGGACCCTAGAACTAACGAGTATGACGGGGTTTTGGGGTACATTACCCTAATTACAAGTGTATGAGCATTTTAGCCGCTTCAACAGAAAGACATTCCAAAAAACCCTACACCCTCCCCGGCTAGTCTGCCCTGGACCCTCAACCTTAAAACTCAACGGCGCCTGTAATGCGCCTTGTGCTTTTGCATCTAGCTTGTTGTTGCACGTTGCCAAAACCCTGAGACAAGCAACTATTTACAGCAAAACGCATCAAGCAGAATGCAAAAATACTTGAAGCATCCTATATTTTGGGATGTTTACAGTGCTAGAACCTCGGCGGCGGCAGCGTTTTCGCGCAGACTCGAAGCAAAACTTTGTCAGTCCTTACACTTCCTGCACAGGTCGGCCACGGCTTTATACGCTTGTGACAATGCGTCTTGTTCCACATCCTTGCACAGAAGGTTGTACGAAGAAGCAAAAGTGCTGTAATTACAAGTCAAAGGCATGGACGCTTGAGACAACGCATCTTGTTCCACATACTTGAGCAGTATGTTGTACCAAGAGTCAACAATGCTGTACATTCCAGTGTTCTCAGCATGGTCGCCAAAGGCATGGATGTTTTGTGACCACGTGTCTTGCTCCACATCCTTGCACAGCATGTTGTACAAAGAGGCAACAACACTGTAAATACCGGAGATTTGGGCATTGCCGCAGTGCGAATGACGTTCTTAACCCCACCCCCCGCCCCCACCCGAACGAGAAACATAAACCCTCAAACCTGAAAACAGGCTTAAACGCAGGGCGCGTTACGGGCGCCGTCACCTAACACTTTGGGTCTGAATAATCGGAAAAATAGCAATGTTGTTGAGGGGTTTAGGGTTCTATCATTTTCACTGCAACCTACGCCAAACGCTTCAAGATTCACAGTGCCCCGTTTCAAGGCTTAGTGTTTAGGGAGTCGGGGATTTAGGGGTTGGAGTTTCAGGAGTTCTCTAAACCCGAAACCCTTAACCCTAATGCTTGGGTGAGGCATCAAACAAAGGCATCGTTTTTTTGACCCGTTAAATAACTTTTTGTTAACCCCTATCCCAATGGTTTCAGGGTTTGACTGGTTTGAGTTCCCTACATTCTGAAACCAAGCCGGCGTTTAGCAAACACAGCTGGGCTAGGGGTTTAAGGATTTAAGGTTTAGGGGTTTAGGGTTTAGGGGTTTAGGGGTTTAGGGGTTTAGGGGTTTAGGGTTTAGAATTTTGGGGGCGTTGCTGTATGCAAAACTACATCAGGGCAAGCTAGAGGGGTTCTGCTGCGAAGTCTTCAGACCGCCAAAAACGGATAGAAGCCTTGCAGTGCCCTTTCCAAAATCCCCTTCTCTCGCCACACGATGAAAACCAAAGCCTAAACCCTAGACCCTGTCTTTATACTAACCCTGCCTGATCTAGCCATGTGCGCATGAAGACGCGGTTCTTGCGCCCGCTCTGGCAGCCATTGATCTGGGTATGCAGGTCGAGGTCTCTTGGTTGGACGGTTTAGAGTTTAGGGCTTAGGGTTTAGGGTTTAGGGTTTAGCGGTTTAAGCTTTAGTGGGGCTTTTTGCCTGGGTTTTTCTGTAAGGCTCAAGGTTGGCTGTAGGGTTCACCCTCAACCCTAAACCATCTTCGGAAGCTTTCAAAAGAAAGGACCTCAAGGGGTTGGCGGAACGGGATGGACACAACCTTGCTCTCTTCCAACCCTGGAAGAGCATGACCTGAGGCTCCGCGTGTGCAGGATTGAGGCCTCATGACTCTTTGCGTGGGATTCCGGAGTTCAACGTCTCAGTCGCAGCTTCGGGTTCAGGTTGCAAGGTTCTGCTGGTAGGAGTTCGGATGTGGTAAAACGATCAGCGGAGTTGGTAAAGACTGTGGGAGTAGAAGTAAGGTAGCTAGAGCTATATCTGTTTGTAACCCCGCATATTTGATCCCTTGATCCTCTAAGTAGGTTTGACGAACGACCTGCTGTAACTCATGTCGTGTCGGGTGAGGGCTCAGCGCTTAGAGATCTTAGTTTAGGGTTTAGGGTAAGTCATACCACATCGACTGAGCGGCATGTCGCTCTGTTAAGCTGTGTGTCACATGACGCTGCGCTACTTTATACGCTGGGGCTTTATCCTGCACTGTGCTGCATCAACTTTTGCTGCATCGCGCACGAGTGCAATTCCCCTTTCTGCCCTCTCCAGTGCCCATGCTGTATCATGGCACATGAAGGTGTACCTAGCCATGTCGAAACCCGAAACCCGAAATGCTAGCCTAAAACCTGAAACGAAACCCTAAACCCCAATGGCTTGCGAAGCAAACCCATCATCGCACCTTGCGGAAGTGCACATTTGGGATGATATTGTTGCCTCGCATGCGCATTGAGAGCTTGAAACACATCGGCTGACAGATTAGGTTAGCGAGTCGTGGCATCAAGCACTGCACCGGAGCGGTGGGAAACCCTAAGCCCTAAACCCTGGGGTCTACTGGCTCAACAAAACATTCTGTCTGAGCAAAACCACGTGAGATGTGGACTTCTTCCCCCTAATGTAGGCTACAAGTTTTGCTATCCTACTTGTAACCCCTAGTTGTAACTATCCATGAACCTCCAAGTATGCTTGAATACTCCGGCGAAGCCCTGTCCTTTCTGTTGAGGCGCTTACGCCAGATCCTCTGCTGCCGCTCTACACCGGGAGCCCCACGACTATGCATGAACGTCCAACGGCCACTGCAGCAGCCTCGCTACCGAGGAATCGTAAACCTGACAGCCTTAGAAACCAAAGCAATCATTCAACTGATTCAACAGGATCGCAGCAAGAGAAAGCTTCAAGAGCAATAGCAAGAGCACCAACAAAGACCTCAAGAATCAGACGGACCGATCAGAGACATGCCTGCTTGACCGGCCTTGAAGCTGGGTCCCTATCATGCAGATGCTACCCTTCTAGTTGGAGGTTCATGGGTAGTTATAAGTAGGGTTATAAGTAGGGCAACTGTAGTTACAACCTATATTAGGGGACTTATAGCTCCACTTAGAACTACCCATGAACCTCCAAGATAGTGTCCTTTATGCATGAGCTGGAGATCTCCCCGAAAGCCGCCCAAACTCCAAAAATGCCCAGAACCCCGGGGCTCCAGGAGCCTTCAACTTAAGAAAGATGCTTTCAAAAAACAGAGGATTCTTCACTTAGGGTTTAGGGTTTAGGGTTTAGGGTTTAGGGCTTGTTTTAAGGGTTTAGGGTTTAGGGTTTGTTTTAAGGGTTTAGGGTTTAGGGTTTGTTTTAAGGGTTTAGGGTTTAGGGTTTTAATTTCAGGGAAGAATTCCTTAACAGTGGGTATTGCAATCTCCGGGAAACCCTAAACCGCTCAACCATCTCTCCGCCTCCGTGACCCATGGTTGCTGGAAGCCGCAGACAAGGCAGAGCTATTTGAGCCTCTTCCTTGTAAGCCGGCAGTGGCAATGAAGATGAGGACAAAGAACATCTTGAAGAGACAAGCGATGAAACGGAAGAGACAAACAAAAAGTGGTGGTGAAGCAAGATCTGAGCCTCAGGACGAGTAGCACCAGGCTTACAAAGAAGAACAACACACACCTTCAGCTGCAAGTCCGGCACCCTGAAACTATGCAGTATCCTAATCTGTCACACGCTCGATCACCGCTGCGCTGATTTCCAACCTCACATCCTACACTCAAAAACGGGTACATAACGCCCTAAATGGGAGTCCGGAGAAACAAGCAACTCCCGACACTAGACCCGAATCATGGAATCTCCTTATATGGACCCAATATCGGTTTAGGGAAACCCTAACATCACTCCGGCACTCCTTCAGACCCGCAAGCAGAGAACCCGTACGGCTGAGGCTAGGGTTTCGAGCCTGTTGTTTAGGATTTTAGGGCTTAGGGTTTAGGGTTTTAGGCTTTAGGGTTGGTTCGGGCTAGGGTATTTTAGACCCAGTTGGTGTGGGAAACGAAAGCTCGGGTTGAGGGCTTTAGTTGATTGGGTTCGTGGTTTAAGAAAGTCTGCATTTAGGAAATCTTGCATGTAGTGAACCAAGGGATTTACAGCATGTCCTACCTTGGCAACTTCAGTTAAGTTCTGGACCAAGAACCCAGAAAAGGCGATATCAAAACAAAACAAAGCACGTGCCCCAGCAGACGGGAGGACGCAGACTCAGCGTACGACGCTCTTGGGGTTGGGGTGCAAGGGTCTTTTGCTGCAACTTCCTACTTGTAAGACGAGAGAGGCCCTAAACCCTAAACCCTGACACCTACACCCTCAAGTCCAGGATAAGTTTGAACCCTACACAACTTCGATGCTGGATTCCAGAGGACACGGAAGATGCAAGACCCGAAAAAGAAAAAACCCTAAAACAAAACTAAACCCTAAACCCTAAACCTTAAAAAAGCCCTAAACCCTAAACCCCCGTATAAACCCTAAAAGGCCCTAGGAATTGGGGCTGAAAATCGGAAGTCTGAGGCAGGCAGAGGTCGGTTGAGGCTTCAGCCGCTGCCCTTGCTGCCAGGCTTGGGCTTCTGAAGGGAGTGAGGGTGTTGGTTTGGGGTTTAGGGTTTAGGGTTTAGGGTTTAGGGTTTAGGGTGTTGGCTTGGGGTTTAGTTTAGAGCTCGGGACTTAGGAGAACCCGAAGCCCAATACCCCTTAACTAAGGAATAGAGTTTAGGGTCTAGTAAGGGTTTAGGGTTGGCTTAGGGCTTAGGGGCTAGAAAGTGGAAGGCGATTTAGGGTTTTGGGTTTTAAGCATCTAGGACTTTGATGCATGCTGGCAGAGAACTTGCAATCTTGAAACATGAAATTCAGGGTTTAGGGACGAAGGCTTCTGGTTCAAGATGATCAACGACAGCAGCTGCTCTCTGACCACTTTTCTGGCTCTTCCCCTTTGGTCCCAACTGTCGTGCTCTGCGTGGCTCATGTCTCCTTGGCGGCAGCGTCCTTGGCCTTCTTCATGCGCTCGCCGAGGTAGTGCTTGTTGGTGCGGGCCTTCTTCAGCTGCTTGTAAGCGGACGCCTCCTTCTCCTCAGCGGTGATGGCACGGGCGCGAGTGCGCTTCTCCGGCTTGGGCACAGGGATGATTTCCTTGAGAGTGTTCTGCGCCACGTTCTGAAGCTCGGAGCGTGGGGTGTCGCCCTTTCGCACCTTCTTGGCACCGGCCTTCTTCGGGAAGAGCAGCA